GGCGGGGGCGGGGCGAGGACTTTTATTGTACTTTTCTAGTATCGCAAATATAAAACAAGCTAAATACTATTGTAGTATAGAATAAATAACTTTCTACTATAACCTTATTTGGCTTTTAAAGTTAATCGAGAAATAATAGTCGTATTTTAGAGCCCCAAGTAGCTACAATAAAGTTACAAATAAATTGAAATAATTATAAAGGTTTTATAGCTATTTAATTAGTACTATGGTAATTTTTTAGTATTTTTTTTTAAATATAAAATTTTTAAATAATTTAATAATAAGGTAATAAAGTTACTATTAGTTTATATTAAGAATAAACTTAAGTGTACGTCTAGCAAATTACCGGATCCGGCGTATTACTATAAAATTACTTAGTTCAAATACATTATATTACTCTCCAGAATTATTCATCTCTACTAGTACCATAATATTTTATGAACTATATAGTACTATTCTCTTGCTGAGACGCATCCGATACCAGTACCACTCTTTAGGCCCAACTACGATATATAGGTCAGATACTGTACACAAATTACAGACTAAGGCGACAAAGACTTACCGGAGAAATTCGGACGCAGCAGGCGTCAATTTGGCCACTAAAACCACAATCCAAGCCGCCTGGTGAGCAATTAATGCCAATTTCTCCTCCGGGAGAAACTGAATTAATGAGGGCATCACAGCACATAGGACGACAACGCGACCGTCCAAGGACAGTGCTAGTTGCCTTATCCCTCGGCGGCAAAGTAGCGGCAGACCCAATAATGGGCAAGGCAAGAACCGAGGCAGTAATTAGACGGGAGAACATTTTGTCTAGTTAGATATATCTTGCAGGGTTTGGGGTTTGTTTATTATTTGGCAAAGTAGAAGATGGGCCCCTTTTTATACCTTTTATTGCTTCTCCTTTCCCCCTAACCCCTCTTCTTGCCTACTAAGCCGACTTGATATACGTGTTACTTCTAGCCAGACTATACAGGGGAGTAACCTAGCGCCCACGACCCGGATAGGCCGCTATAGCCTCTAGGAATTTATAGAGATATATTCTTATATAAAAGTTAGCGCGTAACTATACTTACGCGTATAAGTATTAAGTTACTACACTTATCTAGAAAGTATAATATATAGTTTATATAAAAAGTATAATATAAAGTTTATATAAAAAGTATAATATAAAGTTTATATAAAAAGTATAATATAAAGTTTATATAAAAAGTATAATATAAAGTTTATATAAAAAGTATAATATAAAGTTTATATAAAAAGTATAATATAAAGTTTATATAAAAAGTATAATATAAAGTTTATATAAAAAGTATAATATAGTATAAAAGTAAAAAGTAGTATTAGGATATAACTTAGATTTCTTACAAAGTAAAATTAGAATTTTT